GGGGCCTCGCATCTGTGTTCGACTTGGGCCCCCAAATTGCTAAATCTGCCACTGCTGGTAAATGGTTTACTGACCATGGTATTACTGCGCTCATTTGGCCTGCCTACTCTCCTGACCTGAACCCCATAGAGAATCTGTGGGATATTGTGAAGAGAAAGTTGAGAGACGCAAGACCCAACACTCTGGGTGAGCTTAAGGCCGCTATCGAAGCATCCTGGGCCTCCATAACACCTCAGCAGTGCCACAGGCTGATTGCCAACATGCCACGCCGCATTGAAGCAGTCATTTCTGCTAAAGATTTCCCGACCAAGTATTGAGTGCATAACTGAACATAGTTATTTGAAGGCTGACTTATTTTGTATTAAAAACACTTTTCTTTTATTGGTCGGATGAAATATGCTAATTTTTTGAGATAGGAATTTTGGGTTTTCATGAGCTGTATGCCAAAATCATCAATATTAGAAACAATAAAAGGCTTGAACTACTTCAGTTGTGTGTAATGAATCTAATATATATGAAAGTCTAATGTTTATCAGTACATTACAGAAAATAATGAACTTTATCACAATATGATAATTTTTTGAGAAGGACCTGTATTTCCTGTGGCGTTGTTTCTATAAGCTTCTGCAATGTCACCAGATTTATTTCCATCCAGTGTTGCAATAATGTTTCACTAACGTCTTGCATTGATGATGGTAGCGTCTGACCGCTGGGCAAAGCCTTCTCCCGCACATCCCAAAGATTCCCAATGGGGTTAAGGTCTGGACTCTGTGGTGGCCAGTCCATGTGTGAAAATGATGCCTCATGCTCCCTGAACCACTTTTTCACTATTTGAGCCCGATGAATCCTGTCATTGTCATCTTGGAGTATACCCATGTCAGCAGGGAAGATGGAATAACCTGGTCATTCAGTATATTCAGGTAGTCAGCTGTTAAAGCTGTTAAAGAATGACCTCATTCCTGTATCACATCCTGTTGCTGAACCTAGACCTGACCAACTGCAGCAGCCCCAGATCATAGCACTGCCCCCTCAGGCTTGTACAGTAGGCACTATGATGGGTGCATCACTTCATCTGCCTCTCTTCTTACCCTGATGCACCATCACTCTGAAACAGGGTCCATCTGGACTCATCAGACCATGTTTTAATAATGCGTTGGACAGTTCTGAACCCAGTTTTAGTAATTTCTACAATCTCCTTAGATGTTTTCTCTGCTTGATGCATGCCAATGATCTGACCCTTCTCACACCGGCTAACATCTTTTCTACCACTGCCAGATGTGTCTTCCCACATGATTGTTTAAGAAATGAAAGCAACTCATTGCACCAGCTGGGGTTAAATAACTTGTTGCTAGCTGAAAGATAATCACCCATGCAGTAAGTATCCAATAGGAGGCTCCCACTTATTTGCTTAGTTAAATCCAGGTGGTGACTTTTTTTTGGACAGGCACTGCATGTAGCAGCTAGATTCTGTTTGATGCTACTGGTTGCTAATTGTTTGCAGGATTTGTTTTTACACGAATGTTTACGTTAAAGTCACTTAGTTATAGTTGAAGTAAGAACACAGCAAAGAGCTGCCTTTACAGTTGTGTTTTTTTTCTGAAGCACCAGCGCAGGGCAGCAGTAGCTCAGGAGGTAGTGCAGGTTGTCTAGTAATCTGAGGGTTGTCAGATCTCTGCCCAGCTCTTGGCAGAGAATGCTGCTGGTGGTGGTCAGAGGGACTGGTGGCACTTGTGTTCAGCAGCCTTGCCTCTGTCAGTGAATCCAGGGCAGCAATGGCTAAATTGTTCCACCAGTGTGTGAAAATGTGTGTGCATGAGTGAAACACTGGTTGTGTTTTATAGTGCCTTGGGGGTTCTAGGACTCAAGAAGGTGCTATTGTAAGGAAAATGAGAGATTCTTACATTTTATTTGAGCCGTAAGGCATGGGATTCCATAGTAAATATGAAATCCACCTTACGGTTCGGTGGGTCAGTTAAACCAGAAGATCGGATCTTTTTAATGCAGAGATTATGTAACTGTTATGTATTCACTCAGAGACAACAGAATAGAGAGAGTCAAGTTTAAACGTTAAGAATGTTATTACTAACAAATTAAACTAGGCTGCTTTCAGAACTAAGTGTATAGTGTGTATGGACGTAATTTGGGGGGGGGGGATTGGGGGGGGGGGACAGGGGGGACATGTCCCCCCAACACTTTTTCCAAAGTCAAGTTTTGACCCCTGCACTTTTTACCATCTAAAAGCAATATTAAGCTATATTAAATTGACACTGGTTGAGCTCTAGGACCAAGTGGAAACCAACTGTCTGTGTTGAAGCCTGTTTCCCATTAGGACATACTGTGAAGATACCCCCCCCCCCCCCCCCCCCCCCGTGTCCCCCCCACTTCTAAAGTGAAAATTACGTCCATGATAGTGTGACTAAAAATGGATGAGACGGTGAATGGATGACGTGTGATGTAAATCAGAACCAGCAAATCCGAAGAAGCGATTAGTTCTGACGGGAACTGAAAATGTTGTTCTGAAATAAGCTTGGGTTAGTTTCAGAACCGCATGAGACACCATCAAGCCGGGTCTACTTGCCTTGTGGAAGTCCTCTGGTAAGATCAGGAATGCCAAGGCCCAGCGGACCCTCTCTGGAAACTGAGCTGGTAGAAGAAGCAGCGGTTCCAACCAGACCCGTCTTGAGTTACCTCCGGCACACGACTCTTTTATTGGCGTCTGTTCAGACCCCGCCTGTGTCGGTGGAGCTTTTTTTCTGAAAGGAGCTGTTGTCGCGTCTGGTTGTTATAGCGACTGGATTTTTCCAGCTTGTCGTGGTTCTTTTGGTTAAAGAGTAAAAGGTCAGGATTGGCCACTCCGTCACTTTCTCTGGAACGCTTTGAACTGGCGTTAGAGCTGACGTGGCATAGTTTTATACCTCGGATGTTATGGTTTATTGTCGAATGAAAATTACCAAACACCGTCAGAAGCACGCCTCTGTCATATCTGTAAAATTCTGATTGGATCAGTGAAAGAATGTGTTATGTCTTTTTAACACTACGTGAAATGAGTCTTGTTGGAATCCTTAAAGTTACAGACTTAATTTCTAAGATCATAGTAAAATAATTAATATTTTAATTTCACAGGTCAGTCACATCTTATTATTGACTAACACTTTGATGGATTAGCTTTATTAAAATAGAGTTCTTTGATTAATTAAAAGAAAAGAGTTCATTCTTCGTTCTTCTGTCTTCACTGCTGGAACGTAAACAGTTTAGAAGTGAATGCATGACCTTGAGGCTGTTTCATGCACACTGACACTGTGTCAAAAGGAAACAGCTGTTAGAGGGTAGAAATGGCTCCTTCATCACGTTACACTGTAGAATAGAAAATATTTTATTAATCCCACAGGCCATTTACCATTTTTACCATTTAAAACACTGTTTATAATTATTGTTTCCTATCACAAGATGGTGTTCATGATTCCTGGTCATGACAGATGTTTGTTTAAAACTGTGTTTACAAAACAAACTGACATCTGTTTGCAGGAATAATAATTATAATAAAATACAAGAAAAACCGTGTGATCAGTGTAAACAAACTGTCTCTCTACAATGTGATCCTACCCAACTGCATTCTTTGATTTAAATTTATGTTATTGTGGGTTTTATTCTGCAACATTTGTGCTATTGTCATTTACTGTGTGATATTTAATTATATGGTATATATTATTCACAGTTTTGCCATATAAACTACACTTCCATCCACTTCACTGAATCTGTGACTTTTTATTTTTGCAAAGCATTTAAATATGTAAAACAGAGACTGATGGAGCTCCTTAGAAACGAGACACACTTGATAGTCCATATATTCCTTAATATGCATATGGGACTTATTCCATATCCAGTGAGACAGCCTGGTTGGCTTGACTAAATGCAAAACAAAGTGAAAACAAACATGAAAGTTCCTTGTTGTGTATGACTTAATGTCATTTATTGGTACAATTTTTCAGCATCACATGTGTACTAAGACTTATTTGGTCTAATTAACAAACTGGGACAAGTAAACTACGAACTGGTGAGGAAAATGGAGCAAGGTGTATCTGATGGACTTAATCTGTTTTTGTTTTTTTCCTTGTGACAACATTGTAATGAAGTTATTATTGTGTCTAAGATACATATCACTATACATTGGAATTATGAAAACATTTGTTTTTAATGCCAGCCTGTGCGATTTAATTAATCACAACTGTTTTGTTGATGTTCATCTGCAGAAAGGCGTGTGTCCTACATCTGCTCGGTTTACATCCACCCAATAACCTCTCAGTAGCCGCGTGCCTTTCAAAGGGGCGTGTTGGGCTGTGTGTCTGTCGGAGGGGAGCAGACCGCCTGACGTCACGGTGAATGGAGCACGTTGACATGTGAATTCCGCGGCATTGTCAAAGCCGTAATAATCAAGTAACTGCGCAACCCTAATGTTTTTAAACATATTTGCTGCTACTCGTTGTTTGTTTATACTAGTGTTAAAAACATTTATTGCAAAATAAAAGTGTAACAGATTGTATTGTTGTGATCAAATAAATTGAGGTGTTCTATCTAAATCAGGCCATTATTCCAAATGTATAATTTATATAAAAACACATATATTATTAGTTACAAAAAATATTGCTTTAATATTCACAAATAGATATTGTTGCTATGTCTACATGTTAATGAAAAATTGTTAATGAATAAAATGCTAAGTTGGTAGCCCAGTTCAAGAAGAAAAACAGCCAGTAGTAAGTGTTATTTCGATCTTATAATAAACATTACGGTAGACTTAGTTTTATCCGACCCGCCTCCTGTTTACCTCGCTGTTTGAAACAACTCAGGTCCAGTCACCGTTCAACGTGACTCCAGAGCCCCGTGCATCTTAGCCCCGCCCCCAGCACCCAATCAGCAACTAGTGGGGCTTGTCGTGGGCGGGGAAACATCTTCACATTGTCCAATCACGGCGATTGTTTTAACATCACTTGGCCGACCACACATTCAGGCACGTGTGTCCGTGCGTGTAAACTACATTCGGCAAAGGAATGACTGCAGAGACAAGATGATAAGCAAAACACTCGTTCAGATCTGACATTTAGCGGACTTTTTCCGGGAATTTTAAGCGGAGAATAATCATCTGAGCTCTTGTTATATTGAAGTAAATAAGGTAAGTTTGCTAGTTTGTGATTTGCTGTTGCTGTTGCTTTTGTAGCTAGCTTGCTAGCTTTGACTTATTTTTGTTTGCTCCAAACTTCAGACGAGCTCATTTGATGTCCTTGTCATGTAGCTACATGTATGTATGTATGTATGCATTATGATCTACACTCCATTTTTAATTTCAGTAAACGTGAAGCTTCTTGTGACTGCAATGCTTGTTGCTGCGTTTCCAACCAATCCCACCACATGTTTGCAAGCTCTCAAGTAAAAGATGCCTGCTTTATATTTAGACATTGAAATTACTGGAGTCTCTCCAGTTTTGTGACCAATCGGGGCTTCAAAAAGCCCCTATCTGAAATAATACGGGGGTGTTAAAGACCGTTGTGACTAATGGTCAACAACTCGCCATATTCAGGGTGTGTAGCCGGCTGTAGACAGAAAACCTCAGACACGTACCTTTTAACTACTGCGTAGACAAATACAGGGCTTTTCTGAGAATTTAGACAAGCTCGTTGTTTATGCTAAGCATTTGATTGATTGTGAAAGGTGTAATCACAACAATGTTTATATTGCTCATAACCCACTTGTTTATGCAGACAATAACTGATTGATTTGACAAAATGTGGTAGAGGAAGTCTTGCTTCAGTTTGAGGATAATTTTACAGACTTGTTGCAATGCTATTTAGATAATATGCTTGAAGGGGTGAATGTAGGGCGTGCATGTTTTTTGTGCATAACTGGTCTTTCTGAAACCTAAGTACATGATAAATATGCATTTACTCTTTTGAGCTCGTCACATGAGTCCTCTGTCATGTCGGCATATATTCAAATATGCCTCATTTTGTGTGTTGTTAACTAGATTTCATTTTGAATTTGGAAGGTTAATGCTTTAGGATTAGGTAGGGCTGGGCAATAAATCAAAAATGTATCGTTATCGAAATTTATGACACCTATCGAGATGATTTTTCCCATGTCAATAAATTTGATGATAACAAAAAATGAAAAGATGTGTGTAGGTTGACAACATTCGTGTCCCTTTAAGAAGCTGCACCACCTTGAGTCACGTAAAAATGTGACTCAACATAAGACACGTGACAGCCCCATGTAGTGGACAACTTTTGTTTATGCGCAAACCTATAGTTATCGTCCGTTTATCGTTATCGAGGACAAACCCTCAATATATCGTGATAATTGATTTTAGACCATATTGCCCAGCCTTCTATCTATCTATCTATCTATCTATCTATCTATCTATCTATCTATCTATCTATCTATCTATCTATCTATCTATCTATCTGGGATGTGTATTTTTGAAATTCTGGTGATACGATACATATCACGATACAGGGGAGATGATACGATATATCACGATATATTGCGATACATTCAGTCAGATGTTACAAGCAATTTTTTTTACTGAATTTATTGTAAGAATGTTCAATAAACAGTCCAAACTGATACGTAACATGTTTAACATGAGGTATCTGAACCATGATGGAGGGATTTACATTTCAGTGGTGGAAACAAAACCCGCTGCACACTGCTGCCAACTAGCGAGTGGCGATTGAATTGCGCAAAACGAAAAGAAAATACACAAATGTTTGCATGTGAATTTTTTCAGGAATTAGATACACGGCTTTTGAATATCGATGTAATAATTGCAGGAAAAAATATCACGATATATTGCCATATCGATATTTCCGATAAATGATAATTGACCTGCACTTGTATAGCGCCTCTCAGAGTAAGGACTCCAAAGCGCTTTACACTACAGTGTATCATTCATCCATTCACACACTCATTCATACACTGGTGGGGATGAGCTGCGATGTAACCACAGCTGCCCTGGGGCGCACTGACAGAGGCGATACACAGCTTCTGAATATCGATATAATATTGCTGGGAAAAATATCATGATATATTGCCATATCGAGATTTCCTTGCATCCCTACTTACTACCTACCCACCCACCCACCGGCAGTGATTGGTCTTGAGCGCCACCCACTGCAGGCAGTGATTGGTCTTGAGCGGTCCTGGTTGGGTCATAAGAAGGGGACGATTCGTGCATTAGTAGTTACTTCTAGTGTGTTTATCAATCAGAAAATATGCTTTTGTATAGTTTCTTTTGATATTTAAAAATAAGATACATTTCTGAGATTTGCATTAGTCAAGTTGGAAATCTGTTTATTCGGACGACCAGTTGATCAACTGGCGCATCTGCATTTCTATAGCTACCAAGTGGCCGATCTGTCACCGTCATTCCTCGTGAAAAGTCCAGCTACATTTACAACGTACATACAGCCTTTTAGTGTTATAGACATTGCTTTGAATGTAGATATATTTCATAAACAGCATGGCACATTGTGTTATTGTTACAACACTACATTTGTGAGGTGCAGCCCTGCGGGGTTTATGAAGAAGCTTCACACAAATATCTCAAAACCTGATTGATAAAAGTATAAATATGAGATGAAAAATAAAAATGCTGATCTTTCATACAACAAACGACCAAACTTGTCTTGTTTATGCGTAAACAAATCAAACTCAGCAGCTCTAACACCTACTCGAGGTGAGGATGAGCAGCATTTTTGTACGTTTGAACAGTTTTGCCACGTAGCAGAGGTGTGTTGACTCAGCATACAGGAAAACGCAGACTTAGTTTCGTCCACTTTCACACACACTTAAAAGTGCAACAACCCAGAGTTCCTCCTGTTTTGACTGTGAAGGATGCCTCTGTACCTTTTTACTGGCAACAAAAGCGGTTCCATATCTAATGAATCTGAGAAAAGTCTGAGAAGGAGCGAGTAAAGGAGGTGTGCCTGTCCTTCGTGTTCTGAGAAAGCTGAGCTATCAGGAATGAGAAACTTACTGCCAAGAAGTGGTTCTCTGGCCTCAGAGATGACTTGAGTTTATGAGTGCAGACTTGTAATACGATTTGAGCACACTGGAAGCTGTTTTTATGTCAATATTCAGAGCTACAGGAAGACATGTGGGAACAAATCCATGCTGGGATTTTAAAATGGAACTTCTGTCCCTGTAGAACTTTCTTAGCTTTATTTTACATTATGTGAAAAATCTGCGTAGGTCTGAGTCTGGGCCAACTGTAGCTGGCAGGTTTACCAAAAATACGTTATCGTTACAATTATACTCGGTGGTTGCTGATTATGTTTCAGAAATCCAAAAGTTACTACATGCTGTTAGGCCGGGGACACACTGGCCGCGGAAGCGCCGCGAAGCGCCGCGAAAATGGGACCGCCTTCATTCGGCGCCCTTGTTAAGCTATTCTATAGACCACATGGGCCGCCGAAGCGCCGCGAATCGCCTCGCGCCGGCGCGCGCCGGCGCTCCAGCCCGCGCCGTGCAGCGATCATTTCGGCGTTGGCTCTATTTTTTTCGCGAGCCGCGGGTGAATCGCGTCAATTCTGGCAGGAAGTCAAACGTAGGCATAAGAGGCAGGTCGGTAAAGTTAACAAAATAAAGCATTTCAAAATAAAATTCCGCAATAGTCAAATGTGTTCGTAAACAGACACTGCAGAAAAACCACACGAACACGCACACACACACACACACACACATCGAACTTGTGTGCGTGTGTGACCACGTGAAGGGGGGAGTGGTTTTGAGTGTCTTTTCACCGGAGCAAACAGGACAGAGAGGCAGAAAGTCTGAGGCAAGCAGTTAGGATGGATGACTTTAAATTAATTATGGAAGTTGAGAAACACAAGGAGCTGTACGACCCCCGAAAAACATGATTGTTTACGTACCCATTTAGGAAGAAACTGCTAGGATACAGCTGCAGAATTGGAGCGGGTTCCAAGAGATTCAACTGGCAGAAACAACTCATACCATAGGTTCACACACACACGCGCGCGCGCGCGCACGCGCACAAACACTCAAACGTAGGAAAAGAGCTGAGAAAAGGCAGAGAGGAAATGGAGGACACCAAGTGTTTAAAAGAAAAACTACAGCTGAGCCGAGGCGCGCCTCGACTGGGGCGCGTCTGATCTGAACTGAGGAGCGGCGAGCAGCGGCCGAATTTCGTGAGCGATTCGCTTCTCGGCGCTTCGCGGCGCTTCCGCGGCCGGTGTGTCCCCGGCGTTAGCTAGCAGAAGGAGCTCATTGTGCCATTTTACCAGCAACTTGATATTTAGTGTATTCCAGTGTTTGGTTGTGTTTAAACCACTAATCAAGTCTTTTAAATTCCTGTTTTGTATAATTATTAACCTTGCTGTAAAACTTCTCAGCTCTTCTTTAGCTCTTGTGTTAACAAAACAAGTCAAAAGTATTGGGCGAAGCATACCTATTACTCAAACGGAATAAATGTTTTGAGATCTATTACTTTGAACTAATAAGATGCACATATTTTATTGTCGTTTTGTATGCCTTTTAAAGAGCAAGTCGCCCCCTACCAGAGTCGTACTCCACTCCCTTTTCCAGTATGAAAATGCGCCACAAGGAGGCATCGCCTGGCAGTCCGAGAGGGCAGAGCCACTAAAACACACACACACACACACACACACACACACACACACACACACACACACACACACACACACACACACACACACACAGGCTCATGGCAGCATTGTGACATCATATGGTACCAGCTAACATCATAGGGTACATCTTAGCAAATTGCAATGGCAGATTTAAATTCAAATTGACACTGACAGTCTTAATCAGAATAGTTTAAATTTTCACTAAGATGCACTAAAGTGACAAATGATTAACTACACGTGTCTACTGCATGATTACACACTCATTTATATAGTTTATCAGCAAAAAGAAAGTTAATGGGGGTGACTTGCTCTTTCAGGATTTAGTCTAAAATACTGGTGCATTTTTCTGAACAATAGAACAATCATATCAGTCTTTACAATAATATTTTAAGCACAATCCTTATTTCAGTGGTTTGTAAAGTCCAGTATGATTGGTCAGTGTTTCCCCTATGGGCTCAGGCATGGTGCTGCCCCCCTGTGCTCACCACCCTGCATCACGGCTGGAAACATT